CACATTGGTTTCGGGAGCGACGGCGAAAAACAAAGATAGCATCTTTTCAAACAATTTCAAGATATCTTGAATTCGAGTCAAGACAAGACTTTTGCTTTCAAGAACCCATCGAGTCAAGACATGTTCAATTTCTTGATCTTGAATTTCAAGTCAAGTCAAGAAATTACGTTCAAGTCAAGATTTCTCGTCTTGATGAAATCCTAGATAGTGAAACTGCTAAAACATTTCGTTTTCCTGGAACGTAATCAATTTGTAGATCGTATGGTTGTAATGACATCGCCCATCTAGCAAGTCTTCCTGATGGGGATTTCAACGACATTAGCCAACGTAGAGGTTGGTGGTTACTCTTTACAATGACTGCAGAGGATATTCTATGTATCCCCGAAATTTTGAAAAGGCTCATACAAGAGCCCACTCTGTCGTATAGTAGTTCTTTTCGGTATCATTCAATAAACAGCTGGCATATTCAATTGGCCTTTTCTCTGGACCCTCCTCCTGAAGTAAAGCTGCACCTAGGGCATATGAACTAGCATCCGTTCTGATAATGAATGGTTTTGTAGGGTCATCCTGTCGTGAAATGGGTGCGCTGATTAACAAACACTCTAGACCATCAAACGCTTTTTCTTGAGTAGGTCCCCAATTCCAAGTAGATTTCTTCCGAGTCAATTGGCTTAACGGTCTAGCTACAGTTCGGGACAAATCTTAGAAACCAGGAGCAGGTTTGTAAGAAACTGAGAACTTGTTTCACATAGTTAGGAACACGCATGCTTACAACTGCAGCTATCTTGCCTGGACAAGGAGTGAATCCGTCTGCTGATCATATGGCCAAGATATTTAACCTCATTGGCGCAAAAAAACACATTTTCCACGATTAACATGTAATTTGAGCCTCTTTGAATCCTCATCTAGGTCTTTTAGGTGATCTTTAAAGGTGGATGACATAATTATCAAGTCATCTAAATAAGCCAACATACTTATATGTAGTAACCCTGAGCAAAATCTTCGAACGAGCCTTTGCAAGGTTGCGGGTGCTGCTCTAAATCCAAAAGGATTGCTCGCTTGCTTTTATCAGGTCTAACACTACCTACCTCTAATCCTTTTAGGCAGTCTTGTGCGTTTGACGCTGGTATTAGGATATCATCCAGGTATGCTAATGCTGTCGTAAAGCGGAAAGTTCCAAGTACTTCATTCATGGTGCGTTGGAAGACAGCTGGAGCGTTTATTAGCCCAAACGGCATCCGCAGGTACTCCTAATGGTCGTCAGGTGTCACGAAAGCGGTTTTCGGTATAGAGTCTTCATCTATAGGGATTTGGTGATAGCATTAAGCCAAGTCAAAGCTAGTGGAGTACCGACAACCCTTTAGTCTATCCAACAAATCGTTTATACTGTTCAATCGTCTATAATCAACACACATGCGCATATCTCCATCAGGTTTTGGGACCAAACTAACAACTGGAAAAGCACAGGGCGATTCACATTCCTCAATGATCCCATCTTCAAGGAGTTCATCGAGTAACTTTTTCAAAATATCCTTTTGTGCAGGTGCAATACGACCTGGTGGTTGAAAAATAGGATTATCATTAGTCAACTCAATGTTGTCAGTTCCTTGCCCTTCTCAAATACTGATGCATGTGATTGTAGCAAATGCTCTAATTGTAGTTTCTCATTAAAAAAGTAAATTTTTCCCATCAGTATCTTTAAGTTGAAATGCTGCCTGAGACACTGCAGAAGAATCTTGAACACCCATGCTCCTTGAAGAAATCAAAAGTTTGTGGATGTTTAACACCATTTGATCATTCAATAGGAAATCTATCCCTAGGAGTGTTATGCTATGCTCATGACTAGGAATCGCAAGGAAAGTAGTGGAGATTCTTCTTCCTTATTGAAGGTCCACAGTAGTTTCATAAACTCTAGTTAGTACTTGACGTATATGTCCATCAGTTGAAATCATTTGCAACTCTGTCTCTAGATAGGGTAAATTCAATTCACATAACTGTCCGGCGATTGTATTCTTGACGCCTGAATCGACATAAACAAACCCATGCTTTCCGGCAACACTGACTTCAACCAATAGTCTAGACATTACTGAGACAGTAGAAATATCATGCTTGATTTTTTGTCTCTCTTGAAATACTTCTTGAGTAGATTTCTCAACTACTTTCTAAATATCTACAACTTCAACAGTAGATTTATTATCATCAACAATCTCGTCAGTTGCTACTCCATGCTCGAACCGTTCTCTTTCAGCCTCTTATTTAGAAGACTTCCGAATGACTGCTTTTCCATATTTATTTGCAGATACTGCATTAATCGTTTCTCTCTTAGCTTCTCCAGTGGGAGCATTTTTTATTAAAATGTCAAAAATAATCAAATCAATTTCAGCTTTTTGAATGTCTCCAGCACTGTGGTATAGACATAACTTCATCGTTAAATGTTCATCATCATCATCATTATCATGATGTCAGTATGAATGTCGGAAATTATATAAGCTTGAGTGTGAGCTTTAGCAAAATTGGTGGGTTTCTTAGTTTACCATTATCAAAAATAATTTCCTGAAACTTAGTATCTAGTACCTGGAACTCGGAACTATGTTAGCTACACATCTTCAGTTTTTTAAGTTGTCACTACATGTTTCAATTTTCCGCTACTCCGATTTCAGTTGCTTCTTTGGTAGACTTCTGAAATTGAGCTTATATACTTCAGTTTCAGTGAGCTAAATTTATGTTTATTTCTAGATTCAGTTGCTGTTTACTATGTAACCTTTATCAATAAGAAAATGTTTGTATTTTATCAACAACATAATCTTCCTTCCCGCTCTCATGATGATCCAAGGGGTAAACCATCCCCCCGAATTTGTGCAAACAATTCCTGAAACTTCCTCCAGTCCCCAAAAATTTCTCCAAACTGTTCATGATAAGAAATGTATTTTTCTATTTTCATTACTTTCAGTGTTAAAACCAATAAATTCCCCCAATTTCTAATACATTCCTCCAATTTCCCATAAATTCCTTTAAATTCCTCACAAATTCCTCTAAATTCCCTAGAGTTTTGGCAGAGAATTCCTAGGTGGTTTGTGATGATAGAATTATCCAGGTTAAATCGAGTATTTATAGGTCGTTTGTTGTCGTTGGGATCTTAATTGTATCGAGATTGGATAAACACAAACCCTGTATATTGCGATTCATCTAAATGATTATCATATGCACCCTAAATCTGTGTTATTTAACAGCTTTGTATATTATTCCCCAATAATAGAAATATCCACATATTTACGCAAATAAGTGAATTCCTGCGACGATTCACTCCTTGTCGATACATTAGCAAAATCCGCATTTCACATCCCACGATAGAGAGCCAAGGCAGGCGCAATACGCGAATAAAATAGTCGCGCAAGTTCCTAATAAGGGCGCGATTGCAAGAATTATAATCTAGTTTCAATGTAAGACCTCTTAAATTTCAACTAAGGTAGGTGCAAACAACATGCAATGCAGAATGGCCACTACTCTCTATACTCCTTTAAAATGCTCCATAAATACGTCCCATTTGCATGCCGTTTTGCCCTTTTAAGGTAGTACAAACATATCGGTTCGGCCGAATAGATCTAAGTACATTATTACAAGAAGGATTTTTTTCGAGAACAAATAAGTTTTATAAGAAGGCGTTAAACTGAAAATTTAATTTCCTCATTATATGTATTTCGTGAATATGTCATTGAAATTGGTTTCCTTCTATTAAATTTATAATGTAAATAATAGAAGTCGACAATAATTATATAGGTAAAATACCTATTACTTTTACTGATTCATATAGTATTTTGTCATTGGATAACAAAATCCGCCTTACATATTATGATTATAGGTACATATTATGTTTAACAAATTCGTCGAGACTTACTAAACTCATAAATTCTACTATAATTAAAAACAAACCAGCTAAATTAAATTCTGAAACAATCAATGTTTTAAATCCTGGCACTCGCTATATAGATATTTCAATCAATAGCTATTGTATCTCTCACAGGTATCTAGAGTATTCGTGTTGTTTTGTCAGAAAACAAGCTATTCTTCTATCTTATCTAAAACGCGGCAACAAATGGACTTTTCAAATGCCAATACGAACCCAGAGTAAATTGGATCTCAAAACAAAACTAACCCATTAATTTGTCAATAGTTAACGATCGAGATGCCCGAATGGCAAAATTTAAAATTACTACCAACATGTGATGTATTAATGTTATTTGGAAGTAAAAAAAACTTCCCCTTTGCATACATTTACAGTTTCGCTATATGTAAAGGTGTAGTTAACTCCGCCTCATAACACAACCATAATTAATGTTTTCCCAAGGTTACAGTTGGCAGTACTTAACCTAAAACCTCCGATAACATCAATTTACCGAATGCCGATTGCAATCTAGCCACGGATTAATGTCTATAGTTGAATGGGATACATTTTACCATAAATTCTATATTAAGACAAATTTAATATTATGAAATTTCCAGATTCGTGGTGAATTTTGTTTAAAAACGATCCATATGTGCGCCTGTAGGTCAACCAGGTTAAAGAGCGAATTATATTATTGGCTATGGCGTGAATTAAACGCCCAATAACTGTCCCGTTTTATTATTACAGTTATAATTTGATACTTGAGGTGATTTTTGTTTGCGAGCGGAAAATTTAAAGATTTTGTGAAAATTTCTTTACTAACAAGCCACAAACTGTAAACATTATTAAGCAACAAGTTTCGATAATCATTTACCATCTTTCTAGACAGCGCGAACGTTATTAAAACAAATATAATTACACCAGGAAGATGCGGCATTAGGAGCGATTCACACGAGCTTTTCACATAAGATTACTTTTCAAAAAATTGCACGAAGCTAAACGGCAGTTTTGTTTATAATGAAAACAATACGTTGTTGTAACGGTGAATATTTTAACGAGGAAAATTAATATTTGCTAGATTTCTTGGGTCGCTAACGAATAATTTTTCTTTTTCCAGGTCTGCCAATTACAACAACGCTACTGGGGATTGTGAATTGTCCTCGATGGATCGCCTTACTGTTGCAGGAAGTAGCGCATTTGTGTCAGCTGATGGATATGACTATATGGAAAACAATTGTATTGAGGAACCAACTAAACTTTGTGAATTCAAGAAGTTGAATGGAAGGATTTTGAAAACGGTCAGAGTTTGTTTTTGTTATAATTGATAATTTAATTTACTAATGGTAGCGCTTTCTTTAGGTTGACTCTGTGTACCAAGACGTAGGCACTTTGGAAGAATGCAAAGAATTATGTCTCAACTCGCCCTACAGGTGCCACTCTTATGACTATGGTGATACTGGTGAAATGGTTTGCAGATTGAGCCATCATTCTAGAGCTACATTGGCTGATATTCAGGTAAAAGTGGGTGGCCACAATTCAGGTCAAATTATACTTTAAATTCATCTTACATTAATCAATCCTCTTGAAAGTGAACTTCAATTATCTACACTGAATTGAAAACGATATATTCAACGTCAACTGTTCTACATTGAATCTGGAATCCACAATTCTTTTGGATTTGATAGCCCATTCTATGTAGAGCATTTATTCTCTACAATTCTTCAACCTTCGATGCCTCATACTTTTGAAAATAAACTTCAATTTTGAAATACATTGAATCTTCACGATTTGATACATTTATGGAGGAGTTTCCGTCTATGCCAGCTACATCTGCTTCAAATTCAAACACACCACAGGTTCAGAAAAAAGTTATAATCAATAAATCAAATTTCATACTTAAGTTGCCTTTTCAACAACTTGTGAAACGATTGATAGTATTATATTATGTGCTTTGGTTCATGAAAAATTGAAGGAATATGGAACTGGGGTGTTTTAATCAGGACTGCACTGGGACAAAAAGTAATACGGTACACGTTGATTAACTAAATTTCTGAATATTTATTTCAAAAATACTGTGCTAATTGAACAAAAGGCCAAAATATAGCAATAAAGATTTCTGGAGTAGAAAATACGTGCTGACAAAGCTGACGCTTTCTATGACAATCCTTTTTACCCCTGTCATTGGGTGTTTTCAATCGAGGTAGAAGGTGCTTTGGTGTCCCTATGGTTACAATCTCCCCTTTTGGAGTTTCCCTACATCCTCGGGGATACTTCAAGTCAATTTTGATGTATAATGGCCACATAAACAAGTTGGAGCTTTAATGCGGCGTCTGGGTCGTCCATCTAATCTGGGCTCATCGTCATTTTAATTTTTTTCTCCGTTAGAACTCTCATTGTCATCAGCATGCAGTACATCTGTGTTTTTCGTAGGAATGGTCTTATCACCTTTGGGTATATTATCAGTTTCAATAAGGCGTCTTCTCATGGGTCTTCCACGTGGGCATATAGGTCGTACTGGTGTTGGGACTTCGTATTTTCCCACATACGGTCCAATGCTGACGTATGTAATATGATGGTGGGGCCTTCAGTGGGCTCTATAGGTTTAACTTCAATTGTTGTTGGAGTGAAAACCTTAGTAACCTCATATGGACCATCACGCCGTGGAGCAAATTTTGAAGTATAGGCATCTTTGGCTTTGCTAATTGGGTGTGTATCCATCATCACTCAATCTTCTTCTTTGTGATGGAGAATAGTTCTTCTCCTTTGATTCGCATAATGTTTTGATTTATCTTGGAACTTTTCATGGAGCTCTCTTGCTTCTCTCAAGGTTCTAGCAATATTTATCAAATAAGGGATAACTTAAGAAATGAAATTTTCACTTTCAGTGATAGCTCTCATGTCCCTTTGTACATCATCGGGTGGGCGGAGCTCTTGTCCAAATGTTAAATAGGCTGGGGTATATCCAGTACTGTCACGTCTTGAGATGTTCATGGCAATCAAATCGTCTATATAAGCTAATATGGTCAAATCTTTGGAGTTCGGATTTGAATCGATGAATGAGTCTTTGGAAGGTGGAGGGTGCATTTTTCATTCCAAATGGCATCCTTGTATAATGGAAAATTCCAAATGGGCAAATAAATGCTGTTTTATCTCGATCAAATTTGCGGACAGAGACTTAATGGTATCCTGATTTTAAATGAAGAAAGGTCATATACTTTGTTTGTTTTGCAGTGTGTAATAGATTATCAATTCTAGAAAGTGGGTTTTATCGGAAACTGTTTTCTCATTTAGGCGTTGATAATTGACACAAAGGCGAATACTACCATCAGGTTTAGGTACTAGAACGACTGAAGCAGCATACGGGGATTCGCATTCTTCTATGATTGCATCTTTCAGAATCTTATCCAGTTCTGCCCTTAATACGTTTTTGTTTTGTTCAGACATCCGATAAGGTAGTACAGAAATTGGAATATCATCAGTCAGTTTTACTGTATGTTCTGCATATGGTGTTGGCTCAGTACCGGATATGAATAATTCACAATATTGGTGCAGTAAGAATTCAATTTGTTGCTTTTCCGGTTGGCTTGGTTGTACACCTTCATTTTCTCTCAATTGTGATGCATTCAGTTGCACAGAAAACATTGGAGTAGATTCCGCAGTAGTTATTACATAATTAGTCTCATCTTCAAATAAATACGAAAATTGTCCATCACAATATTGGCAAGTTCAATGAAGTCCTATTATTGATATGTTCTGGAATAGCAACAAATTATATTGAAATAATTTTATCATTCAGTATGATTTCAACATTAAAAACTAGAGAAGTTACAGTCCTCTCTATCCCAACTGCAAGTTTAATCAACAATTGTTGTTGAATATAAGGAGCGTTTTCTTTCGAGAGAAATTTCATAAGCACAGCATCAACTAGGTTAAGCTTTGCTCCTGTATCCAAACAGGCAAGATCAGTATGACCAAGAATATTGACTGAAACCATAGGTTTAATTTGAGAATCAACATCTGAAGAATTCAGCAGCTTTGGCACTTGTAGTGAACGTTTGGCCTGATCAAGTATTACTAGAAGAACCTGATTTTCGACAATTTGGACAGTTGCTTTTGGTGTAACCTTGTTTTCCACAACCGTAGCAAGAAATTGGTGTAGAAACATTTTTTTTTCTTGCGGATCTTCTAAATTCCGACCTATTTCTTCCTTCTAGAGTTTTGTTTCAATTTTCTACAATCTTCTATGATGTGGCAATAATTTTTGCAATAAACACAAAGACTTCTTCCCTTCTTTTTTAGCTTCTTTGTGGGGGCTCGATTCAACAGAATCGTGAGTTTTCTTTTCCAGTAGAGTGATTTCTGCAGTTCGAGCATTTTGAAAAAGCTCATTGAAATTATCAACATTCTCTCGAGGAACTCTCTTTCTAATATTGTAGTTCAATAGACCATAAACCATATCTAACTGACAAATTGCAGAAACCTGGCGATTAATTGGAAATTTGGAGAAAATGGCTCGACATCGGCTTACAAAAATTTCAGTTTTCTCTTCATTAACTTGTTCTTTAGAAAATAACTCACGATATAGCTGATGTGGAAGTTTTTTTGTCCAAAAGCATTTCGTAATGCACATATACCATCATCAAATGTAAAAACACTGGATTTTACTCCTTGCCACCATATTGCAGCTTGACTTTCTAAAAGCATAGGAAAACCCTTGAGAGCATTATTTTCAGAAACATTGACGCAGTCTTTATAAATAAGGATGGTATCAATAAACGTATTCATATCACTGCTATATGAACCATCAAAACGAGCTGTGCATTTGGCAAAATTACCTCGCTCTAAATTATTTAAATTGGCATTTTGATTTATAGTAAGGCTCTGCATAAGAGTTTGTAACATTTCTGGCGACAGTTGTTGAATAACGTCATTATCATGATTGTCTTCGTTATTTTCCATTCCATTAGATTCAGTACTTTTCGACATCCGATCTGAACGTAACTGCATGAAATTGGTGTCCTTGGGGAAGCTGGTGAGATGGATTATGATCACAATCGAGAAACTCACAGGAAAACTTCACAAATCTATCTAGTCAACAAGAGTACAGTCAAAATAAACTTGCTTTTTAACTCAACGTTGGTGCGCCACTATAACTGGGGTGTTTTGATCAGGAGTGCCCTGGGAAAAAAAGGGATACGGTACACGTTGATTAACTAAATTTCCGAATATTTATTTCAAAAATACTGGTACTAATTGAACAAAAGCAAAAATCTGGCCATAAAGATTTCTGAAGTAGAAAATACGTGTTGACAACGCTGACGCTTTCTATGATAATCCCTTTTGGTGTTTTCTACCGAGGTAGAGGGTGCTTTGGTGTCTTAATGGTTACAGAGATTATTTATTAGGTATATTAAGTTCTAGAAATATAGCTGATTCTAATTATGCCAACTCTTTTACAAACTGAAATAAATAGCGTAATCATACGATCAACTTCCCTCTACATCTGATTTTTCCAAAACCGAACCAATCAAATAGTATTTTTGGTAGGAATGTCTTAGAGATGTTTTGATTTTTTTCCATTCTTTAAGTTTTTTGGGGTGCTGAATCCGAATCTCAGGTTTGCTAACATTTGTCCGACAAACCGTTTCAGCTCAAGCGCTAGTTGAAAATGGTCGTATTTTATCTATCTCCACAAAAACCCATATTTTACCTGCAAAACTCTGCAAAAGAAGAAATCATAATATTCAAAGCGTTTTCTCTAGAAGATTCTGGCAGAAGATTGAGTTCTTCCATAAATATCACAGATTGAGCTACAAAAAAAAAAACAAACTCGTGATTTTGCGATTGAACATGCCTTCCACATAGTATGAGCGTTGTTCTCCGGACATTTCTTGGTGTGCTCTTTCTTTGTTACCTTCTTCGTCAATCTCAACGCTGTTATCCGGAGACTTGACGTTTTCACACAACCTGTTGCATGTTGTGCATATTGACGAGCAATAAAGACCTATCTTCCTGCATCCACAATTTCGCTGGCAGCCTTTCTTGCACTTGCAAGATATGCTCCGGTGCTGGTTGAACGTGTTTGTAACGGGCACAAAACCGCTGTTGGTTTTTTTCCATCCGCACTTGTTCGGGTGTCTTTGTTGCACTTCATCGGATATGGTTTGTCCAGATAACCACTGCTGCACCTGAAAGTATACTCTCGTGCAGCAGCTTCAGTGCGGCAAAGTTGGGTTTGCTTTTAAAGGATGATGATACAATGCCTGTATCTTAAATCATTCAAAATAGTCTCCCGGCCTTTCCCATATAAGGCCATGAGAAACATGTTGCCTGTTTGGGCAATCTCGTCCTGGTCAGCTCGAGGGTCTTTGAAAGCCTCAATAATTAGTATTGTCATTGTTTCTTTGCAGGAATATGAGAACTTCTAATTTTCCCTGATTGAACATAGCGGAAGTAGTGTCACAACCACTCATCGCGTGCAGGAACAAAATATAGTCCGATAGGGTTTTGTCTAG